CCCAAAGACCCTCTGGCCAATGGTCTAACACCCTTCAAAGACAGCGCCGCTACTTCTACTACCTGACCGGCTGCCCCCTCGCCGACTGCCACTACGTCTTCGACCTCGAGTCTTCCGAGTCCACCCTGTTCATCCCTCCCATCGACCCCGATAGCGTTATCTGGTCCGGCCTCCCCGTCAGCGCTGCCGAAGCCAAGGAGTTGTACGACGTCGACCATGTAAAGTACACCACCGATGTCAATGCCGAGCTTGTGCGCCTCGGCAAGGGCAACAAGACCGTCTTCGCGATCGAAGGTCAGGTCTTGGATAGCATCACCTTCCTCGAGTTCGAGGGCAAGAACTTTAGTGTCCTCAAGAACGCCATCGAGACGTGCCGTGTGGTCAAGGACGATTTCGAGGTTGCTCTCACCAGAAAGGCCAACGCTGTCTCCACCATTGCCCACCACGCTGTCGTTGAGAAGGTCAAGAAGGCCAAGAACGAGAGTGAACTGTATGCTACCTTCCTGTATCACAGCATCTCCAACGGTGCCACCAACCAGGCCTACCACGGTATCTTTGCTGCAGGTCGAGCTGCCGCCACCCTGCACTACGTAGCCAACGACGCTCCCCTGGCGGGCAAGCAAAACCTCCTTTTGGATGCTGGCATGGAATGGAACTGCTACGCCTCTGACATTGTAAGTCTTTGCCAGCCACCGTGTCGTGCCCAGGACCCATTTTAACAAGCTGTAGACACGTACTTTCCCCATCTCTGGCAAGTTCAGCAAGGAGTCCCGTCAGATCTACGACATCGTGTTGAAGATGCAGCTTGACACCACCGCAGCTCTGAAAGAGGGTGTTGTCTGGGACGATATCCACCTGATGGCCCACAAGATTGCCATTGATGGCCTCCATTCCGTTGGCATCCTGAAGGGCGATAAGGAGGAGATTCTGAAGAACAGGACCAGCGTCGCCTTCTTCCCCCACGGCTTGGGACACTACCTCGGAATGGATACCCACGACGTTGGCGGTAACCCCAACTACGCAGACACCGACCCCATGTTCCGTTACTTGCGTGTCAGAGGCAAGCTGCCTGCTGGTAGCATTGTCACCGTTGAGCCCGGCATCTACTTCTGCAACTTCATTATCGAGCCCTACCTCAAGGACCCCGTCCACTCCAAGTACATTGACACCGCCGTACTAGAGAAGTACTGGGATGTTGGTGGCGTGAGGTATGCAACACCCAAACATTCCCAACCGTGACAATGCTAATCTTTACAGAATCGAGGACAACATCTTGATCACCGCGACGGGCAGCGAAAACTTGACCCCTACCATCAAGGACCCGGATGAGTTGGAGAAGATCATCCAGGCGAGCTAAAGACAAAGTTAAAACCACTGTACAAATCAAGCTAGCAACTAATGAACACGCTTAACGCCTGTGCCGATGAGATGATGCCTCGTCCCCACTATGCCTTCTCTACTAACGCCATGAGACTGAAACCGATGTTGTCTCCTCCTTGTGCGATGAATTGACGTACGATGTCCAGCGACTTTTGACCAAGATCGACCCGTTGGTCTTCGTCGGGCACGCCTCTATCCACGGGGCCCTTGCGATCACCGTCCAGTTCGTACAGATGGCCGGTATCCGGTGATTTCACAAAGCAGATGTAATGAAAGTCTACCTCGTCTTCAGCACTCGCCGGTGCAGCTGTATCACCCTTGGTGGCAATCGAAGAATAGGCGTCCTCCAGCTCGGTTGAAGCTTCTAGTGCCATGACAGCCTGAGCGGGGTCCATCGGTGCCGTAATAGAGAGCAGATTGTCCAGCAACGATCCCGGTCCTGCGTTGCATCAGTTACCACTCACTTTCAAGGAAGCTTGGGTCACTTACTGAGAAAGTCTTTTGCGCGGCCGTTTGCCAATGCGTGCAGAATGGCATACAGCCCACAGGCATTGTTGATAGTCTGCTTGAACCACACGGCGTCCTCGTCTTCTTCGTTGTGCTCCACCATCCAGTCCTGAGCGCCGGCTTCCTCTGCGGTCAACCGGGCCTCGAAAGTAGGGGTCGTAGGGAAGATGAGGACGAGAGCCAGAATCTTGTCTGGGAGCAGCGCGGGGTCGTCCAAGGTGAAGATGTCCTCAAACTGGAGCGATGGCGGAGCACCGAGAAGGCTGATGAGTTCATTGAATACTTCGGGATTCGACTCGAGGGGGATGAAGGCCTTGTTGTAAGTCGGCGGCATGGTGAGAACTACGGCGGGGTTGAAGCAGCTGTCGACAGACAGAATGGTAAGAAGGGAAGCGACAAGGCGACCCGATTTCATGAACTTGAGCGAACGATGAGATGCACAGCCCGACAGAAAAACTGATGAGGTCAAAATATGTGAGAAATCCTATTGTGATGAAATGGAAGTTGAAACTTCAATGAGATCCTAAGGTGGGTAGTTGGGGGTTGACAAAGCAGACAAGATTGCTGACTGAGCATGAAAATACGCTGGCGGATTCGCTCCTCCAGTGGAAGCCCGTCATCGCCTCTGATTATCTCTACCACTTTTGTCCTCCATCCAAGTACAAGTCTAGACCTTCACAAGTACATTGTAAATACAGCCGCGCGGACACAGGAAACCTACACGGTCTCGCCCGTCAAACGATGGGAATGACCTTGAACGCACTTGAATGTCTCGTAGAAGCTCCAGTATCCTTGTTCGGCGCGACGCTACCTTACCGAGCCGGACAGCCAAGACATGGCGGGGCTTCTCGCTGGAGTCTCCGACGCTCACTCGTTCCACTTCGTCCAACACCATATTCTCAAATGTCTTCCACGGATCGAAACAATGAAAGAGACTGAGGTAATGTCAGTCAGTTTCCAGTTTTCAGGTAAACACTCTTCAAACCTCACCTTGCGAAACCACACATGGCCGCCGGCCGCCGACGGCTCGGAGCGACACGCGTGAACCCCACACAAGGTCCCCGCATCGCCCCTCGGCCGCTCCATGCGACAGATAAGATAACACAGCAGAAAGATGGAGGGGTTATGGTGATCATCCTGCGTCCCCTCCGGCACACTTCTCCCCGCCAGCGCAGATACTTGCGCACGCTATCACCCCCGAAGTGAGCTAGTTTTCATGCGTTGGCGTACTGTAGGGTAGCACAAAGCGGTGGGGGCGATCGGTGGTGGCCGGCCGGAGGGCACGCCGTCCATCTGCTTCCCGCCGGCTGGGCGTTTTGAAAAGTGGTCTTGTGAGCTCCAAATTTCAACTTCATCTTGCTCTCTTCTTCTTCTCCTCACTTATCTTTTGCTCTGAAGTCTCATCCCCATAACCCTCACTTTGTGTGATTCGACACCGTAGACCAGGACAGTCACCATGGCGCGCTTCCGCGTGCCCTCCCTCCCCATCCCGCCGTTCCTCCACGGCATCCCCGCCCCGACGATCCGCATCATCGCCCTCCTCGTCTCCATCAACGTCGCTATCTGGATCGTGGCCGGCATCATCCTGCACTTCCACCCCTCCCTCATCTCCCCCGCGGCCCTCTCCTACGTGCTCGGCCTGCGCCACGCCCTCGATGCCGACCACATCTCCGCCATCGACCTCATGACCCGCCGCCTGATCGCCTCGGGCCAGCGTCCCGTCACCGTCGGCACCTTCTTCTCCCTGGGCCACAGCACCATCGTGATCGTGACGTGCGTTGTTGTTGCTGCGACGAGCGGCGCGCTGAGGGACCGCTTTGACGGGTTCACGCGCGTGGGCAACATCATCGGCACGAGCGTCAGCGCTGCGTTCCTGTTGCTGCTCTGCGCTGGCAACGGATGGGTTTTGTATAAGCTCATCCGCAGGCTGAGAGTCGTGCTGGAACAGGAGAGGAGGAGGGCGCTCACTGGGGAAGTAGTTGATGAGGAGGACGAGGAGGCGGCGACGAATCTGAAGCTGGAGGGCGAGGGGTTCCTTGCGAATGTGTTCCGCAAGGTGTTTAGGGTTGTCGATCGGCCGTGGAAGATGTTTCCTCTGGGCATCTTGTTCGGGCTGGGCTTCGACACGAGTTCAGAAATTGCAATTTTGGGACTGAGTAGCGTGCATGGCGCGCAGGGCACCAGCATCTGGCTGATTCTCATCTTTCCCGTCCTTTTTACTGGTAAGTCAAGTATGGAAGACGTCGACAGGTTGTGGCTGACGATCATGATAGCTGGCATGTGTCTTCTCGACACCACCGACGGCGCGCTCATGATGGCACTCTACACATCCAAGGCGTTTTCGAGAGACAGGGTTGCGATTTTGTACTACTCCATCGTGCTCACCGGCATCACGGTGTTTGTTTCAGCCTTCATCGGTATCATCCAGGTCCTCTCCCTCATCGCGAACGTGGCCGAGCCCGAGGGAAGCTTCTGGGACGGGGTGGATGCCATTGGCGAGCACTTTGACATCATCGGCGGCAGTATCTGCGGCCTGTTCGTGGTCGTTGGGCTCGGATCGGTGCTGGTGTACCGTCCGTGGAGGGCGAGGATGGACCGCAAGAACCAGGAGAGAGCGATCTTGGTACCCGCTGAGGAGGAGGCTTTGGAACCGGCGGAGGGGCCAAGTTACGGTGCCGTCACAACGCAAGAGCCCGCTTCCAAGAAGGATGCCGAGGCAAGCGAGAGGGATTTGCGGCTTATACAGTAGATGGCAGATACACGATGTAGAGTAGACATCACTATGATACAACTTAGATAGACTTTGTATGTGGTGGAAGGAAGATTACACATTATGTGCGGATCGAGAACATACTTTCTGTTTAGCTAGGCATACACACCCCTTGGCGTCGTTTGACGACCTGGGACATTTAATATGTTGGCAGTGTATCCCAAAACCAGTGTCATCAACTTTTTTGAACGCTAATGTATTTTCGCTGTCTGTTGTTCGGCAATCTTCCAAAATGAATGACTGTTTACAAAAGAGAGCCATTGAATCTTCCCGCCCTCAAACAACTTGCACATGATGATCTTGAATGTGTTCATACCGTCGTCGTGATGTCGTTGGTCTCGTCTTATGCGTCTCTACTTGCAGAAGAGTCAGGGAGACCAAGATGCGCCAGGCCACAAGATTGAGCCTCGTTGGCTTTGATCTGCGCGGCTCTCTGCTGCTCGCATTTCCACCGCTTGTGCTGCAATAAGCCGCTCACCACGGCGCGATGGAACCCTTTCCTGACAGTCGCAGGTGGCTGGTAAGTGTCATTCAAAGGAACAGTCGAAGGATTAGTCGAAAGGCTTTGCTATGCGCCAGTCGAAGAAACAGGCGAAGAAACAGGCGAGGAGACAGGCGAAGAGCCCGGCGAAGTGACAGGCGAAGAAACAGATGAAGGGCCAGATGAGGGGCCAGCCGAAGGGGAAGAGCTGCTTTCTTTAAACGAGTTAGCCGCGGTACACACATACTCTCTCTCTTTCTCTCTTTCTCTCTCCCCAATACAAGAACACATACTACCGGTCTCGGGGTCCGATGACTCCCAGGTTACAGATGTATCATCTGTAGTCTGCTGGTCCGTGGAAGAGGGAGTTGTGGCCGTCTCTTTTCCCTTCCCCTTCCTCTCCTCTTCGTTGGAGTTTGCAAAGGCCTCGTCGTTCGCATCCTGCTCTCCACCAGGAACAGGGTTCGATGACGCCACAGAAGAGTTCAATTTGGCCCTGTTCTGGGCGGCAGACAGAGCGTACAACTGCCTGCCAACTTTTGCAACCATCTCCTCCCTTCTTCTTTGGGTTACCGCCTTGATGGCCTCGATAGCCGCCGCTCGAATCTCTTTGCTAAACACCATGTCTAGTGAAGACAGCTTCCGCCGTCAAGATGCTGTATCAAGATGCGGCAATTATGGCCCCAAAAAGAAGAATCTACAGCATGTTTTTAAGCAGTTGCGAGGCATATATAGCCCATCGAGAGCTATTTCCGTAGATTCATCTGTGAAGAACCGTCATGGTTGACCACTTGCATACAAAACTTTAGCATCGTGTCTCCGACAACATGGACGGCGGGCGGACAGCCAGGGTTTGATGACAATGCCATGGAATAGGCGAGGTTAACGATGGCCGACCAAGGTATGGAGGATAAAGTTCTATCTTCGGTTGGCTGACCCAATCGGTTTGTTCACAAAGGTGCTGGAAAGAAGCAAAATCTTAGGACTTGGATAGACAGCACAACATGACCCTTTTGTCAATATGTGACTGCCAGGTTGCGATGAGTACCCCTGTAGGCTGCCGTAAGGCGAGGTCTGATCAACACATGAGAAAATCATTCAAGCAAAATCATCAATGTTGACGCAGCTCGGCGGACCGACTCGCACTGTACCAAGATCCGACGAGATAGACGGGACCTAGATGGAAGCTTCGACCGCCAGGCCAGTATTTACTATATATGACCCTTACACCTACCGTGACCCTTCGGTGTCGCGCGCGCTTCCCTAGGAAACTTTATGTACGCTGAATCACAGGGCATGCTCGCTCTCAACCCGCAACTGACTGATGAGTAGGGGTCTGATGATAACCCCGTGTTTGACTGGATCAAATACCTGGTAACCCGCCAGGGTTCTGCGGATGGAATCGACAAGGTCTCGGATGTTCCCCAGAAACAAGTTGGGGCCGGCCCACCGGCAACCTCGCCGGTCGGTCAAGGCGATGTCTTGATTCTGGGCCCAGCCGACGTGCCAAACTACCAACAAACCGCGGACACATGAGGAGTAAACAACGAGCAATAGGAGAGAAGAAATATGGACCGATGAAATGAACGAATACCGTTTGTGTGACCAAACTGGCATGAACTGCTGCGATGCGCATGCAGTGACTGCGCATCTGAAAGGTCCGGACTGCGGGATCGGAGGAAATGCGGTGTGGTCGGTGAGGCGACGGACAGGATCCGATAGGGGTCCCTTGGTCCAGACCTTGTCCCAAAACGGTGACCCTAGCAATACCGCAGTATTTAGACCAGTGCGGAAGTAACTGTGCTGCAGAGGGTTGCAGCGAGATACTCCAGCGCCTTCAGTGATTCCGACAGTCCCAGCGCCAGAACGAGCATCGGTCGGTCTTTTGGGCTTGGCTCTCTCGCCACTGGCGCGTTTCTGGTGGTTTGGACGATCAGGGTCCATCCACACCGACCCAAAAATCTTTACTAAATTAGCAGATTACAAGTTCTTTTTGTTTTCGCAGTGGCAGCGTTTTCTGGATTCCGCTGTCCCGCTGTGGCCATTCCGTCGAGTGACACGAATCAGTCTGGGTCCGAGTCGTCTCATCTGGTGTCAATCATTGATGTACCGCATCGTGTAGCCCGAGTATCTATACAGGAGTAAGGGATGCATGCACTCCTTGATACAGCGCGTACACTGTAGACTGATTGTCTGCCGAGCGGATGGGTCGGGACGGAATGCAAAGTAGCATGTGTCGTCGGGCGGTGGTCGGGTTGATGACAAAGTAGAGGGCGTTCGAGTGCACATGATGCTTCGTGTTCGAGAGGTAAGAGCACCACGTTGTCGAACAATGCGGCCTGAGAAATGCAGTGTTCCCTATCTAGGTGCAGCGGGAGGGTGAGACAGCGATCGGAAGTCCACTTTGGCTCATTCCGGGATGCAGCATTCTCTTGGATGCCACGAGACAGGCTCTCAAGCGTCTGGCAGACAAGGCGGGCGAGCCGTGTAGTGATTCTGAGGCTGAGAATGGCCGCTTTGCTGGCTTGAGATGGGCAACGGTTCGGCCGTCAAGGGACCGTTGGATTATGCTTTGCTGTGCTGTGTTTCCAGCACTGGTCTGCTGTTATGCGTGGTCCTTTGTTTAGTGGCAGACGCTGACTTCTTCCCGGAATGACTCGCTAAGAAGTTCGGTCCCCTTGCCACAACCTCCTGCAGCGTGCAGCTACAGGGGAGTCGGGTGGTGGACAAGGGCAATGGAGGCCTATGCCATGCCATTCTGGTCGACTCGTACAGCGGGAACGACGGGATTGGGTGATTGGCATGTCGACACATGTGTCGCATGGGAATCCCCGGATTGTTGAGCACCTATCTATCGTCGAGGGAACCAATTTCCGTACACCCATTGGAGGGGACAATGTCCTTGAACCAGTTCCAGTCGATGTCGAGCGCAGATAATCCACCTACCGCGTACGTCTGACTGTCCACTGAGAAAGTCAGCAATCTAAGCCAGAAGTGGTAGGCGGAGGCGTTGGTTGGGTGCGGATTGAGGCAGTGACATGCTGGGCTATCGCGTTGCTCTTATCTCGGGGTGAATCCTGGGGTAAGGAAGAGATCGTCAAGGGCTGAGCCGATTGAATATTGCCGCGCCGGGTACTTCTGCCTGGAGGAGCTGAAGCCAGCGCCTGTCTCCCCAATGCGAATCGCATGGGCAAGGTAGGAGTCTTCGAAATGCGCAAAGTAGAAATGCTACTGCGGAGAAGGTAAATGGCCGACAGGAGAGGGCTCGTGATGACGGATGCTGGTCATGATGGGTGCATGGCAGATGCTGACGGCATACTGCAAAATGCAGCGAATTGTCGGCGGGGGACGCGTATCATATCGATGTACTATGCAGTAGCTGAAGCTCAGCCTCTCGTGCCTTTCCCATCGCGGGGTTACGAGAGCTAAGCCAGCCTGATTGCGAGAAGGGTTCGTAAGCGGCGCGGCTCTGCTGAGGGGCCGGCGTCAAGGAACCGGCGTCAAGTGACGCAGCTGCCTGGATTAGACCATCAAGGTCAAGGCCAATGATTATCGCAAAATCAAGTCTCACGGTTGAGATATCAGACTCTGGAGGCTATCCTCGGCCACTTCGGAGGCAGCCGGCAATGGTAGGACCGTTTCAGCCTGGGGATAGCCTCAGTTCTCAGTTATCAGGCATCTGCAAGCATCTCGGCAGAGTAGTTGTTGGCAGAATGTCGACCGTTGAATTCAGCCCCCAAGGACAGCCCGTGGATCCTTATTCGCGACAGTTGCTGGGTAGCACCCGGGGAACCTGGGCCGAGGACATCGTGGGCATCCAGTCTCCATCCAGAGGCCCCTGTTTACCGGTACCGGGGTTGTCGTAGGCCCGCCCCATCGGTAAGGTCGGCTGGGGACGTTGGGATGGCTGGATGGTTGTTGGATGCCACCGCGACCGAGACCAGGCTGGTTAACCGATGGCGCCGTGGAGTTGGGAGTTGGAGCTTTGGCGTCGGGACGATTGTCGGTTCCATCTTCCTGACATGGCACCGGATCCGAGGTGACTTGGGTAAGGCACGTAGAGAACAAAGAGTCAAAGTTCTTAGAAGAACCTTGGAGAGAGAGAGGAAAACGGAGAGAAGAGCGAAGGAAGGTGAGAGCCAGTTCGCGCCTCCTTCCTCCCAGGTCTGACTTCCCTGACGGATAAGGAACCTAAACCGCCCTGCTTACGATATCGGCAAGGAGGGCGCCGTGGGGTCTCTTATCAGTAAGGTACCTAGGTACCTAAGGTAACGGCACGCCGGCTGGACCCTGAAGGACCCAGCTAAAAGTCGCTGAAGGCTGCAGTTCGTGGCACTAGCGTGGAAGGAAGTACCTGCCAGAGTGATGCAGGTATCGTGCCTTCCCTCTTGCCCTCATATTGTCTCGCCTCTTGTTTCTGTCTGTGTCTTGCCTTCGATACTGTCTGTGGCTTTACAACCTCCGATCAACACCACCACCACCACCATTCAGCCGTGCGGCGTCCATCCTTTTCCAACTCCCGGCTTTGTCCTCCCGCAAAAACACCCCCAACACACCCAACCAGGTCACCACACACTCTCTCAATTCCGTCGTCCTCCCACCGCCAGACTTGACCAGACCCTTGGGCGCTTTATCGAACCCTGGAAACGACCGGTCTATGCCAAGCCAGACCCTTGCCCCGCCCATGTTCCGCTCCACGTCCTTAGGCATGGATCCTGGCGCGCGTGTACACTACTCGAACATGTTCCTCGACTTTGAACAACAACACTGTGAATCTCACACTCGCCCATCTCCACATCTCATGCCGGCGTCCGTCCTCGCCGCCGCTCCCCCGGGGGTGGTGGGTCGCCCAGCACTTCACCACTTGATGCGGATGCGCCGCCCCCCAGCAGCAGAGCCAGACAGCTACTATGCAGTAGACACGATGGCGAGACCACCAGACCCAGCCGCCTTGATGCGGTGAATGCGAATCACACCCACTCCGTCTTCCCTGTCGTGCTTCTCGTCGACTCGCGCTTGTCAGATCGTCCAATACATACCGCGAGGCTGCGACTCGCTGACCAGGTGCGCCCTCCTTGTCTATCCCACCCTCCCCCCCAACCCCGAGTTTCCGTTTCCCTTCATAAGACCCTTCTCTCGCCATCCACGACTCGCGTTCAACTATTTTCCAACCGATACCCTCCATAACCTTTCTCTCTCGTTTCCGTCACTGAGTCGTCCCGTCTGTGCTTCGGCCTTGGGCTGCTCGTCACTCACTTCAAACCTCGCCCAACCTGTTCCGTAACTGACCCGTGTACTACAGCAAGCGCAGGACGCCCACAGCCTGCTCGCTGCTCTAGATAATTGCTTCCGTCCCCCAACTCTCTCGTCAACCTCCTCTCGTTGACTCTCCGTAACCAATTGACCTCTAAATCCTACTACTCGAGTCCCTGTACTCGTCCCACCACCAACATGCACGGCTACAGCTCCTCCGAGGAGTCGGAAGACTACCGTCGCCCAAAGCCCGCCCCGGCCTCGAACAATAATAATGACCAAAAGAAGAAAAAGAAGAAGAAGGCTCCCCCTCAGCAGTCCATCAATCGTATCTGGAAGAAGTTCCAGAACCGCAAGTTCAGCAAGGCCCTGGCCGTGCTTCCCTTCGACCCTGTTCTGCCTCCTGCAAGCGCAGACAAGCCAAATGAGCTGTTGACTGCGGGCTACGAGCGGGCTGTGGAGGAATGCCGTCGAAAAGTCAAGAAAATCATTCAGGAGTGCAGGAGAGTCAACATGCGCTACAGAGACCCTGGCTGGGACCTGGTGAGTGACAACTATCGCCTTCGTAGCAGACTTCGTAGCTAAATTTCCCGTTAGGACTGGGATTTGAAGTGGGAAAAGGGTCACTGTCTCAACACCCTGGGTTCTACGAAGTGGCAGCTCTCCCGAACAACACTTTCCAACCCGAGCGCTTCGGTCCCCAAAGCTGTAAAGCGCATCCACGAAATTTTCGAGAAGCCTACCTTCATGAAGAACCTGAACGGCGGAGACGTCAAGCAGGGAAGTCTGGGAGATTGCTGGTTGATGGCTAGCTTGACCGCTCTCGCTTCCGTACAAGGCGGCATCGAGAAGATTTGCGTAGAATACGACACGCGCATCGGCATCTATGGCTTCGTCTTCTACAGAGATGGCGAGTGGATTTACTCCATCATCGATGACAAGCTATATCTCAAATCGCCTTGCTGGGACTCGCCCAGCATGCAGCGGGATCTTCTGCAGCAGATCGACCGCGAGGACGTTGAGCGGGTCTACCGCCAGACGTATCAAACCGGTTCCAAGGCCCTCTTCTTTGCCCAATGCAAGGACCAGAACGAGACGTGGGTGCCCCTGCTCGAGAAGGCATATGCCAAGGCCCACGGCGACTTCGCTTCCCTGGCCGGTGGCTGGATCGGCGAGGGTCTTGAGGATCTCACGGGTGGCGTCACTACCGAGCTCCTTACATCCGATATACTCGACACCGAAGGTTTCTGGGAGAATGAGCTCTCCAAGGTCAACCAGGAATTCCTGTTTGGTGCGAGCACCGGTCTCCTCGATGGAGGCTATGGCGACAGAGATGGCATCTCTGAGGGCCACGCATACGTTATTATGGAGGCGAGGACAATCAAGTCCGGTGAGCGTCTCATCAAAATGAGAAATCCTTGGGGCAAGGTCCGCAAGGGCTTGTGGGAGGGTGCTTGGTCCGATGGGTCAAAGGAGTGGACAACCGACGTTCAGGAAGAGCTCGGCTACCACTTCGGCAACGATTCTGTTTTCTGGATCAACTATGATGACTTCCTTCGCAAGTACCAGCACATCGACAGAACGAGGCTTTTCCGTGACCCTGCCTGGCGATGCACCCAGAAGTGGATAGGTGTCGAAGTTCCGTGGAAGCCTCAATTCCACGAGAATTTCCAGATTACCCTGTCCAAGGACGGTCCGTTGGTCCTCGTCCTGTCTCAACTGGATACGAGGTACTTCAAGGGTCTCCAAGGACAGTACACCTTCCGCATCCACTTCCGCATCCACGAACGCAGCCGCCCTGGCGCCGAGGACTACATTGTCCGCTCCCACGGCAACTACCTAATGGAACGATCAGTCTCAATCGAACTCCCGGACATGCCAGCAGGCGAGTACAGCATCTACATGAGCGTTGCCGGCGAGAGGGATAACAATTTGCCCTCTGTTGAATCCGTTGTTAAGCGCGAGTGCCGCAACCGCGTGGAGAACGACAAGCTTGCGCAGATCGGCGCCGCCTACGACCTTGCGCACAGCAAGGGGACGGCCTACCTCGAAGAGGTTGCCAGACTACGTAAGATCAAGGAGCAGCAGAGAGCTTCTGACTCCCGTAAGCAGGAGCGTCGCAAGTTGTGGGACAGACGCCACATGACACGCGAGATCACCAAGAAGCAGAAGGAAAAGAACGGCGAAAAGCGCGCACGCAGAATCGCCAAGGCCGAAGCAGCTGCTAAAGTGAAGGCTGAGGAAGAAGCGAAGCTGGCTGCTGAAGAAGCGAAGAAGGCTGAAGCAGCAGCCCAGATCAAGGCTGAAGAAGCAAAGAAGGCCGAGGCAGAGAACAAGAAGAAAGAGGAAGAGGAAAAGCCCAAGGACCAGAGTGTCCAGACTGAGGCTGTCAAAGAGGAGCCGAAGGAGGACAAGTCTGTTCAGACGGATGCCTCCGGAAAGACTGGAATGTCCACGTCGGAGGCTACTGAGAAGACTGAAGTTTCTGCTCCTGACGGCAAGACTTCTGACGAGGCAGCAAAGGCCGAGTCTAGGGATGAGCCCAAGGACGACTCGAAAGAGGTGTCCAAGGATGATCCTGGTGAATCAAAGGTGTCCGAGGAAGAGCCCAAGGAAGAAACCAAGGAGATGCCCGAAGAGTCTGAGAAGACTGTGGTTCAACCTCCACCTCCACCTCCACCACCTGCGGCGAAAGTATACGACTCGGATGATGACTCCTCTGACTCACCTGTCGACGATTGGGAAGAACTCTACAGTGACGATGACATGGTCAGGAAGCCTCGTACCACACCTGCGGGGCCACCCAAGACCCATGATGAGCGCTATGAGTCGGAGGAGGAAGGTCTTCCCGACCCCTGGAATGCCATCTGCATTGTTGGCGTTCGCGTATACTCCATGGACGAGGATCTTGAGCTTCGCGTCGTCATGGAGGGCGGTGAAGTCCTCGATGGCGCCATCGGCAAGAAGGGCGAGGCTGATCTTGACAATGCCCAGGCCAACGCCGGCGGAGAGCGCGAGAAACAAGAGCCCGAGAGCAAGGTCGACGAGGATGATGCTGAACCTACCAAGGCGCAAAAGGAGGCTGCACCAAACGACGCGGACAAGAAAGAGACGGACGTCAAGGAAACAGCCGAAGCGAAGAGAGACGACATTGAAGATAAAACCAAAGAAGCCAACGAGGACTCCAAGTCGGACAAGAGCGTTGACTCAACAGAGTACGACAAGCTTGATTCAGGAGCTTCGACTCCAGAGGTTGTTGCCACGCCCGAGGAGACGCCGCTGGAGACGAACAAAGAGTTGTGCTAGAAGACCACTTGAGTATACAAACTTATGACGCAAACGAGGGTATATGATATAGTGGAGATGCCCTTTTCGTGGTTGTGGTCCGACATATTCTGAGGCGTTTAGAGCGGATCTTGTACCACGCATTTGCAAGTGGCAGCAGATGGTAGATCGCGTACGAAATCTTGCGAGACTAGACATCATTTTTCTTGCTTCATTGATCACGGAGTCTTGTATAGGGTCCCGATATACGAAGGGACCCAATGGAAGCATTTGAACTCACGAGCAAGCTGGCTCGCTCTCTACGGCAACACATAGTTCGCATCTCAATAATAGCATGATCTTCACTTGATCTTTTTCAGCCCACTCAACACCAGTGCATCTGGATGTTACGAATGAAAACATATTGCTTGTTGTGGAATTACTTCAAGGCTTTTTTTGACTGGCTATGTGATTGACAGCCACAAACCCATGCGTCATAGCTGGGCCAAGCGTGGATCCTGCACCCAGGTATGTCCGTCCCATGATACTCGCAGCGGTATTTCCAATCGCGTACAATCCAGGTATGGAGCCTCCATTCTTCCTCAACACCCGCTGGTGCTCATCCGTCAGCAAGCCGCCCTTGGTCCCGAGGTCACCAGGCCAGATCGCGATGGCATAGAATGGTGCCTTGTTTAACGGCCCCATGTTGGGATTCAAACCCCCAGCATCCGGGTCACCGAAGAAATTGTCATACGCACTATCCCCCTTCCTGAATTCCTCATCGACCCCTCTCTCACACATTTCGTTGTACTTCTCAACCGTCTCCTTCAACCCTTTCACGTCAACTCCAATCTTCGAACCTAGCTCCTCCAACGAACCCGCAATAAACATCTGACCCTCCTCGAGTGCCTTCTTCGGTGGCTTCTGCCTCGCAAACAAGCCCGTCCCGAGCATGTACCGATTGCGATGGTTGCTATCCATGATCAACCAAGCAGGAATCGCCTTGACCTTCTCGTTTCGCTCGTACTGGTCGTGTCCGGCGTCCGTATACGATTCTGCCTCGTTCATGAACCTCTTCCCTGTTGAGTCGACGATGATGCAGTGCGGACCCGAGCGCTCTATCAGCGCGAAGTGAGGCTTCCCTGTTATGGGGTCGAAGATGGTGGGACCCCACCACGCGTCGTCCATCAGGGCCGTCGCGGCGCCCAGGTTGATCCCCGCTATCACAGCGTCGCCCGTGTCGCCCTTAGGAGAGCTGGTCCAGGTCGTGGTGGCGGGGGAGGGGAGGTGTTTCTGGCGGAGGGAGGCGTTCTGCGCGAAGCCGCCCGCTGCGAGGATCACGCTGCGCGCGGCGATGGTCTCTTCGCCCGTGGGTGTTTTCACCTTTGCGCCGGTGACTGTACCGTCTGGATCGGTTATGAGGGAGGCGAGGGATGTGGAGAGGCGAACGTCGGTTGGGGAGGAACTGTGGGTGTTGAGGTACAGAAGCCGGGCGACCAGCGCGCGGCCGAAGCTGGTAGGCTTCTGGCCGATGAGCATCTTGAGAATGGACGGTAGCACGGCGCGGACTGATTGTGTGAAGGCGTTGAGGGAGGACGTCATGCGCATTATTACGGGCGCCTGGTTCGTGTAGATTGCTACTGGCGTAGTTGGCGGCGGCAGCGCATTTTGCCATTTCTTGTCGAGTTTCTTCGTGTTGAAGGCCTTCGACTCGATTGTTCTTCCACCTCCTTTTCCCATGGCGCCCTTCATTTTGGGGTAGTAGTCGGGATACCCGTCGCTGGGGCGGAACTCGAAGCCCTTCTCCTGGAGGAACGCAATCATCTTGGGAGCATTGTCAAGGTATGCGTGCCGGCGGGCCAGCGAGGAAGCAGGACCGACGTCACCGACGGCTTGGTCAAAGTAGTCCAGCGCATCCTGTTTGGAGTCTTTCACGTTGGACACGGGGTTGTTTGGGATCCAGAGACCGCCGCCTGAGATTGCGGACGCGCCGCCTATTGTTGGCTGCTTCTCGATGACGGCGACGCGCAGGTTGTGGTGTTTGGCACGGAGAGCGGCTGTTAGACTTCCTGCGCCGCTGCCGATTATAAGCACGTCTACTTTGGTGTTTGAGAGGAGGTGACGGGTTGTTGTAAAGAGGCGTATGTGGTGGATTGAGGCTGGGCGTGGGCGGGCGCCGGCGACTAATACGCCTGAACGCAACATCTTGGGGTGAGTGATTCACAAAACGCGGAGAATCTCACGTCGACGCGGTCACACGCGGCCAGCTAAGCAGACAATAAGATGAAATTTCAATTGGAAATATTCACTGGGTTGACGGCTCCATCTTAAATCCTTCGCTGAATATCCCGGGTTTGCGATCCTGTCATCCAAATCGGTGACGGCCTCCGAGCTCGTTGTTCGCAGGCATGGTGCTTCGCGTTAGATGGATAGGCAGATACAAGACAATATCCAAAGATACATCATCTGTGTTAGCAGTTCCTATTCTGCAGCTTAACCAGACAAACACCAGGGCTGTCATCACGCAAGCAGGGGGACAAACATTCAGGGGTCTATGTAAGAAGAGGGGTATCTTGAAAGGAGCCTTCGGATGGTGGGGCAACGGATGACGGAACTTCGGTGCCCTCTTCGGCTGATGGCAACGTTCGCATTGGACGGCCGGGATTGCCATCCTGTGACAGTAGCATTCTGGAAAGCATCAACGAACGCTAACGTGCGGGCAAGCTGAGGAGCTCACCCCGCGGAATCCACGCCCTCCACGCCATCCACGAGACTGGGTCTTGGCAATCACCGAAAAGGGTCGCGATGATCCAATGCAAAGGCTTGGTGAATCAAATTGAAGAATCGATGGAATTCTGGGAGGACAGGATGCTGTGCGAAATAAGAGGACGGCATGACACGGCGGTTGATGGTCTCTGATAGTAATGTCAGGATAAGCCCGGAATGGCAATCCCAAGTACCACGTTTCTCAGTTGCCAAGCCACGTCCAGTTTGAAGGTTCTGTTAGAGACCGCCTAGCTTTTCGGTGTGTCCAATATACCCCCCATTGAGAACAACGGTAATAAAGATTGCGATGGTGTAGATGACGACAAGTAATAATAACGATGGAGACGACGACAAGATAGAGTGTAAGTGAGTTCACAGGAAAAGCAGTTGCTTAAGCACAAGAGTATTGGGGTTCTGTTCTATTTTTGAGATTTGAGAAAGGATCGTGAGCTTGCTAGCTGTTGACAGTCTTGCCTGGCCGGGCGATAGAGAGAAAGGAAAGAATGAGAGAGCTTAAGTTTGCCTCCTCTCTACTCATTTGAACACCGGAACATCAACAAACAGATCCTCCAGCTCCATGTACTCCTCAGTCTCCAGAGGCTCCATCGTCTCGACAGCCGCAGGATCATACTCCATGGCGAACTTTCGAATGCCAGATAGTGACGCCTTGCTCACGCTTGGCCTGACTCTCTTCAACACTTTCTCGAACAAGGCTTGGGTCAATAGCCTCTTGCCTTTGTTTGCACCATCTTCCACAAAAGTGTCACACATCATAGTAGCTTGGACGCACAAGTGGTGGATGTCCGCACCGGAGAAGCGAGGGGTCAATAGAGCCAGGAGATCGCCGTCGAGATCGGGGTGCAGAATCTCACCCCGCAAAGCGATTTCGAAGATCTCTGCCCTCATCTCGGCGGACGGGAGACCCATGTGAATCCGGTTGGGAATACGACGGAGCACCGCCGGGTCGAGCTCGGCGGGTGCGTTGGTCGCGAGCAAGACCAACGGCAAGTTCTTTGCTGCGCCCAGTCCGTTCATTTCGGTCAGGATCTGGCTGATTTGGACCTTGGCCAAGTGGTTCACGGCCTTCTCTCGGGCTCCTAGGCACAAGTCTGCTTCGTCGAAGAAGAGAATGCTGGGTGCGAGCAGTGTGCCCAGGCTGAACAGGCCGCGAATCAGTAGTCTCGGTTCAGAGTCAATGTCCGATATGTCTGCCAGAGAGACACTGATGACTGTCGATCCCGATTCGCGAGCCAGCACACGCGCAAAGTGCGTCTTCCCGGTCCCGGCCGGGCCGTACAGGAGCGTACCGCCGACGTAGGAGCGATGAAGAAGCCCATACGATTTCTCGGAGTCCGCGGCCTCGCCGTGCTGTCTTATAATGCCCCGGATGGCGTCTTCAACTGCGGGCTCGAGAGCGATATCGTCCCAGCTCACCTCGACGTCCTTCGGGGAAATGAGACAGTGGGAAAACTTCCGCTCCCACGAGTACTTGGAGCAAAGGAATGGCGGTCCCTGCAAGTATGTGATCTGGCGCATGACCTTCTGGACGGCTGGAGGGAATTTGGCCCATTCGTCATCCAAGTCCTGGAGAGGCTCGACAACGATCCGAGGATCCAAGGCTCTAGGAGGGGCAGGAAAAGGCGGGGGAGGAGGAGGAGGAGCGCCTGCACGCACAGGTGGCCGCATTCCACGAGGAGGCTTGGGCATAGGCATAGGGGCTCGGGGTGGCAAAGGAGCCCCGAAGTCGTTCCAGGCTTTGAGAGTCTTGGACAAGACACCATAGTCCAGAACAACCTTTCTGATGTTATCATCCTCGACGGGCTGGCCGATGGCACGAGAAATGGACTCAAGCCTCATCTCTACGAGAGACGCCTGACTCATCCGTTCAGCCATGGTAGAACCATCTATGAATGACCAGTCGGCATATGGCGCAAGAAGAGAACTGCTGTAGCCGGGATTCTCCTCTCGGCGGATGTATCTCTTGATGTCTCTGATGTTGCGGGATAGTAGCTCACGCTTGCCGTCTGCTTTCAGCAGAGCCTCCTGGGCCGCAGACCGGACTGGGAGAACTTCCGTCGGTGTAGTGAACGGAAGAGGCAGCCGCCCAGGGGGGCCACGATGATGTCCCACCACATAGGTCGGGCTGTGCGATGGGCTCTCGGTCGTGACGATGAGAAGAAGACCCTGACGGACTGGGTAATCGCGGATGGCAGCTTGCAGGTCTCGGAACAGCGATCTCGTGAGGTCGCCCTCGCTGATGAAGAGGTGAACAATCA